ATTGTCTATTTTTGTTATTGTTTGTATTAATATATATATATATTTTTTTGTGCTGATAAGCCTGAGTGTTCTGTTGACTGACCGTTGTATTTGTTCAATTAATTGTTATGGGCAGGTTACAACATAAAAATGTTTGTCATAATCATGTATTGTGATTATTTGACAGGCGTTTTACTTTTAAACTGTAAGTGTATTTAATTTAGTTATGTTAATTATGATAGTTTAGTTACGATGTAAATACAATAAAAATTAAACCATGATTTAGATTAGAAAAATTATCATTTTGATCCATAAATTGGTAATATCTGACTGGGCCTCGTGCCACTTTATGTTCAACAAATTGGGCTCCGAGGTCAAAAAGGTTAAGAACCTCTGTTCTATGTTGTCTACAGTATCCCAGAATTCAAATCCCAGTGAGGGACCTTTCTGTGTARCGTTTGCATATTCTCACAATCCATTTTCTCTGTGTACTCTACTTTCCTCCCACAGACCAAAAACATGCATGTWAGGCTAATTGTCAACCCAAAATTGTCCCTAGGTGCGAGTGATGGAGTGATTGAGTGAATGGTTGTTTATCTTGCTTGTCTCTATGTGGCCCTGTGATGGACTTGCAACCTGTCCARTTACACAATGACTACTGGACATGGGCACCAGTGAACACCCAGGACACAGAAAAGAAGAAGCTGTTATAGTGTCCTCACCTAGGATCATGGAAACGGTCTTCATCAGGTTCATTACGGTCTCTTTGTGTTTGAGCTGGTTAGTGTGCTGTGACATCTGCCTGCTCTTGCGCCTCACATAGAAAAAGATCCGGGTGTAGATGGCCACCATTATGGAGAAGGTCAGCAAGTTGAGAACAGCCCAGAACACCAGGTAGCTGCGACTGTACAGCGGTGCCATTGAAGAGCAACTACCCAGGTCACACAGGCAGTTCCAGCCCATTTTGGGAACCAGGCCCATGATGAGTGCCACAAGCCAGATTAACACTATGATGATGAAAACCCGTCGGGTGCTCATCTCGCTGTGCAGCTGCATGCTGAAGATGGTCTGGTGACGCTCAACTGCCACCGCAAGAAGATTCAGGACCGAGGCTGTGAGGCTGGTGTCAATCAGTCCCTGCCGCACATACCACTGGTCGATAGACAGTTTTTCAGTCCATGGACCYGTGTGAAACATCAAATGGAGGTAGGAGATACCTGGGAAGACAATATTGGGAATTTTACTACAGAGAATTAAAAAATATATATCTTGCATGCTCAAGTAGTAGGTCTAAGACAGAAAACWKGGGAAAGAAACACACTGATAAATGYCTGATTTATTTAGTTTATCCWGTATAAATTCTAAWCAAATATAACAAATTGCACCAAATAAAACATCAAAGTGGGTTGGGAGTRGGGCTGGGCGAYATGRCTGAAAGATGTATCACAATGTTAGCATTTCAAACCAGAGAAAGGCACCCATATCTGTTGCACTTTAACCCTGAARCCTGATAAGAAACCTTAGTACTGAGCTACAGTCGATACTTTGAATGACAGAGATTCATAACATACAAAGTAGCTAGGCCAGCTAAGTGTYTATAGATAAAGCTGAAATATTTACAGAGCTGTAATTTCCAAAGGTGCCCCCACACCTACACAGTACACTTTCATAMTAGGTGGTAGGGCTGCTCTAGATCTAGTTTTGTTGTCATGTAGAGGAAGAGGACCTTGAATATTTTAGGAGCACATTACAAGCAAATATTAGTAGCCATACTAAAAAAACCTCACAAATCTGAGTATTTTCTCTGTTAAAAATATTTCATACCACAATAAGGCTTATTTTGATGCTATTCTGGTTTATATTTTGTATTGAAGAATAAAAAAATATGTTGATGCCTGTTGACAACACAGGTGGACAGTAACAAAGTAAATTTACTTGAGTACTGTACTGTATGATGTAAAGTTTTTGAGAATTTGTACTTTACTTGAGTAGCATTTTTATTGAAGACTTTTTACATTTATGCCAATACACTTAAAAATAAAAAAATAATATTTTTTACTCCACTACATTTCTCTAAAGGCTAGTTACTTTTTTGTTCATGTTTGTGTAGTTTGCATCTATGTCGCTCCATTGACACACAGTAAAATTACTTTACACCCCTATACAGTAGCTGGTGATAAGTAGCTTTAAACTGCGAAGAGAATAATAATTTTTGTCCTACTAGACAGGTTTCAGCACWATTGTGGGTCTTTGTTTAGATCCTGATTAGTCCTCATGACTAACTTGGACTCATCTCATTTAAGACCAAAGAACATTTTAGACTTTTAGTCTGTTCTATTAAAGGATTTCTACCAAATAAACTTTGTTAATTTGTMACAAATATTTTCAATTCAGCAAACTATTACGAATATTAAATAACTGAAAATCTCAGATTAGATTAAGAGCTCTATAATTAGTCAGTTAATGCTAGACTATCAAAAACTGTTCCAACCCTTGTCCTTGGAGTGATGACTATGTAGACTAAATGAGCAGACAGTTCTTGTAAAAGGGATATTATTAGAAATATAAAGAATACAGTGACAGAGGGGGTAAGCGTTTGCTCTGCAACCAGAGTGTTGCAGATTCAAATCCCTGCCCAAGTGCATACTGTCATTGTGTCCATGGGCAAGACACTAATCCTCACTTCCCCATGTATAATAGTTGGTGTGATTGTGGTCTGGAGGGGACGTAGGTGAAGAATGGCAACCACACTTTCACCACCGAGTGTGACTGAGGAGTGAAGGAAGGCATGACATTTTAAAGCACATTTGAGCATCTAAAGTAAGGCTAATATTTATAATATCGAGAGTAATATTTGGCCCGTAGGATCAGTACTTTAACTTAAGTAAGGAAACTGAGTACTTTGTCCATCACTGGTTGACAGCCAGATAAATAGTTTCATAGTAAACTTAAACATTGACAATATCATGTTGAATTTGTTTAAGTGCTTTTGGAGCAGAAGTCTCAAAACTTAGGAGCTTCTACTTTGAAATACAAATACAGCTTTAGTGATGTGGATGCACAAAAAGCCTTTCACTTGCTTAGCTCATAAACACTTGTTCACATCTTCAGTGCAAAGTCTGGTTAAGATATAATAAAAACAAGCTTGTAAGAACTGCAAACAAACATAAAAAATAAAACTGGGTATAAAAACGATACAATTTGTTCAAGTGATAATTTTAGAGAGCAATTTAAATCAGGCAAAATCAGAACTGGCAGAAAAGAACTTTAGAAATTGCAATTGGCCAAGAGAACTGTAATTAGTGCATCTCTAATTATTGTGGATATATTATACTATAATGGGTAAAAAGATTTAATGTTGGGTAATTTAATTAGTTTTATCTAAACCCAGCTTTTGCTAATTACAGGAGAATAAGCTTGTGTTTTTAAGCCTGTGTCATATAAACAGTACATACCCATTGCTGTGTAATTACATATAATTTCAATAATTACACAAAAGTAGACAAGTAAAACAATGTTACCTGCAAAGAAGTCTGCTAAAGCCAGATTGCCCAGCAGGTAGTAGATGGGAAAGTGAAAACGTCGGTTTTTTAAAATGGACGTAATGACCAAAACGTTGGAAAAAATAACTATGAAGGAAACAGTCAATCCCAAAGTGACAACCAGATAGTCACGGGTGCGCCAGTTGAAACTGATGGTCTTGTTGACTTGCTCATAAAAAAATCTGATTGAGCAATTATCGTAGCATGTGACATTGTGCTGATATTTGCTAGGACTACAGGTGGACTCCATGTTGGAGGAGAGCTGAAGTGAACAGACAATTTGCTGACAGGAAGCTGAAGTGAAGGTCTAGGGCAGCATTTAGATTCGTCCTCTTCAGTGGGTTGGAGATCGGCACGCCATCAGGTGGACAGGCGACAGATGGAGATCCAGTTTAAAGGCCTTGATGAAATTAGCTGTCTGCAGAACTGGATCTATGTTTTCAGTCTGCAAAGAAACAAAAAACAGTTTTTTACAAACTTAATAAACAAAAATAAAACGATGTGTGATCTAGTCCATTTGGAGGAATTCATTTGGTCTTCATTTCTAATGTAAAGAAGCTTGATGTTTCTTTTGATCAGGATATATCATTTAACTCCCCAATTATGATACCAAAAAAATTCTTCTTAAATAGACTAAATTTAGAAACAACTTGTTCTAAAATGATGCAAAAGAATCAAGATCATTTATCAATTCTAGGCTGGATTATTGTAATTCTTCATTGTTTAGGTCTCTAAAAACTCAGTCCAAAATGCCTCTGCTGGAGTAAGAATAGAATAGAAATAGAATAGAAATAGCCTTTGTCCCGCCAAGGGTAAATTCAGGTGTTCATTCTGTTCTGATGGGATTTGGAAGAATAGATCCTATTTTCAGTTTTAGATTCTCTCCTTGTTAATTTCAGAATAATATTTAAAATCCTATTTTTAACATGCAAAACTCTTTTTTTTTTCATATTTCCCCAATAAAGCACATTGAGTCCAGAATCCAAAATCTTCAGTAATCATAAACAACAAAGTTAAAAGTTAAAACCAAGTTAGATTATTTTTCTCAAAATAAAAATAAAACAGCCAAAAACAAGAAGTTGATAGCTTAAGATTATTTGTTTTTTTAAAAAAAGCATTTTGGCTGTTTGAGCAGGTTTGAACACTGATACAACCAAAGAATTATTCACACACATTCATTTTCACACAGTAGGAAGGAGGAAACGCTCCACAATCAGGGATGGGAATGATAAAGGAATGTAGACTTTGGACATAATTCAGTGGCAATTGTCAAATTAGGAAGAATATGGTAAACCAAAGCACAGTAATACTTAATAAAACAAATCTATTTTTTGGCTCTAGAACCTGTATTTTTCACATTTCAGATTATCCTCTGTGGCATCTGTTGGACACATACCACAAAGGGTTAGGGCTGCCACAAATGATTATTTTTATAACCGATTAATCACCGATTATTTTTTCGATTAGTCGACTAATCGGATCATACATTAATTGAATATAAAAGAGCTTATCGCGCCAGAGTGCAGCTACTATTATATAACCATTGTTAGATTTTAGCTATATGCTAACTAAAAATAATTGCTGTGGAAGACAAGTTCTGCCTTGCAGATATTTCACAGGTTTCTCTTTCATTTTCTTTGAATGATCCCACACTTTGGAGCTCTGTTGTCAGGTAGCCATGATACTAGAGCCTGTCTGTATAATGTCTTGTGACGTCCACAGCCTACCCCGGTTACCACTACTGTGCATGTGTGTCAAGGACAAAAAGGCAGATGTGGCAGTGGAATGTGTCAAAGCAGTTTGGAGAGAAAAACAAAGTAAACAACAATAAATAATCGATTAGTCGTCGACTAATCGACTAATCGTGGCAGCCCTACAAAGGGTCACTTGAAGCCACATTTCAAGCATTTGTTAGTCAAATCAACACCTCAACCTCACCATCAGGGAATGTTTCCMTGAAGGGGATTACTTGGTCAGCAACAGCTTGTCAAAATAAAATGATCATAAAAGAGAGAAGCCACAAACCTTGACATAATCATAGCAGATCATTTGTTAATTTAATTGATATAATGGCTATATTTTTTTCTTATAGCACTAAAACAGGATCTATCCACACATGCCATTGTATTCATATTTCCTTGTATGAGCACAGCGAGTTGATGTCATGCCTTCTGCACAGGCGGGTCACTTCAGAGTGGTAGACTTGTTATGCTGGGTCTTGATGGCAATCACATTCAAATTATCTTGCAAGATTTATGCTGCTGCTGAATGAGAACTTGTCAAAGGTTTTGCAGCTTGCAGTGACACCAACTCAGCCCTGAAGCCATGACAATCTGGTTCGTGCCAATATCTTTATTGTTGCTCATTATCTGCTTCCAACCACATATAGATTATAATCAGAATGATCATTTGCTGCAACATTTTAATTCACTGCGTGTAAGAAAATGACAAGTCAACTAGATTTATTAAGTTGACATACTAAAGAAATTTTACTAACAATGCAGAAAATCTTGATTTACTTCAATGTTTATTATAATCTTTTAAAGCTGGGAAGTTTTGTAAACCTTATGGTTCTAACTCTGAATCAGCTACAATTCACAGCAAAACTCAGTCTTCACAACACAACTCCCAATCAAAGCGTGGCCAACAGCAAGCCACAGTAATCTTCTATTTACGGTAAACCTGTCGAGGCTGCAAAGTACATTTTGAGTCAACAACACTCTGACATAGTTTCCATTTTCCTGTGAGATCAGAGCAGCGAGACGACACTGCAGTACCATCGGGTCCAAATTCAACTCACCCAACAATGGAAACAGCAGAGGAGCTCCCTGCAGCAGAGACACACCTCACAATTACTCAATCCAGCTATGTAATCCAATCTCAATCCAAACATGCACGATGCAGCACGTAAAACTCACACAGACACACACACACACACACACACACACACACACACAAACACACGCAGGGAGGGAACCTCTGTGACCAGAAGAATGTGTGGAAACAAATGCCAAGTCAAGAACAGAATTTTTCAAAGAGAAGTTCAAAAAGAAATGGACATGATACTAGTGTGACCAAAAATATTTGATAAGAACTGACAACAGAATGCTACAATATGAGAGAATATGAGCAGATTAAAAGGTCAAATTTGGGAAAATAATGAGGAAAAATATTTGTTGTAATAATAATAATCGCTGACCTGTCTGAYGATGGAAACATTTACAGGCAGCATTGTATTCAGTATGTACAAGCTAATATGCTTCTTCTGAAGTTTTCTATGTGCTCCAATGTATACTGCCAACCTGTGAGGCATTGCAGGAAAAGCAGTTTGCATAAACTTCAGATGGTGTACAATGATGGCATGATGCTGCTGCTTAAGGTACTGCGAAGTAGTGCCAGTCAGCAGTGTTTGTAAATGCCCATGTACCAACTTGTGGTGCTGTGCTTTGAAACCTTATGTAGAAATGTATTTGTAGGCTAACAGACTGTAGTAGGGCTGTGTATTGGTAAGAATTTGGCGATACAATACATATCATGACAGAGGGGTCACGATACGATATATCCTGATACAGTATATTGCTGTACTGTAAGCAAGGCGATATTTTGCGATTTTTTTTGTCCAAAAACTCTATTAAATAAAAACCTCTTACTGGGAAAAAAATGAAAAACCAAAATTCATTGACTCAGAAATTCT